AATGTCCATGGTGCACGCCCACACACCCATCACCTAGCATGTGTGTCACTTCCAAACAATTCATATAACACGTAATTCAGGGATTCATACCCTCAGAACCAAGTTTAGAAGTGTTACTTACCTCAGCCGTGTAATACTTTATTCCAATATGCCTTTGCCTCGCGAATCAGACTCCAAACTCCTCGAATCTAGTCACAATTAATTTGATACAATCAACACAAATTATAGGAATTAATTCCATATGACAAAATCTGAAATTACACTCAAAAATCGCCAGTGGAGCCCACGTCTCAGAACCCGACAAAAGTTATAAAATATGAACACTCATTCAACCACGAGTCAAACCATACCAAATTTACCAAATTCTGACATCAACTCGACCTTCAAATCCTCAAATCTTATTGTCAAATCCCTAGGCCCAAATCCTAGAATTTTACCTCAAAAAATACGTAATCTAGTCGGAATACTCAATGATAATTCAATATTATTGACTAACAATGATCATAAGTGACATACCTCAAGTTTTCCAGTGAATTCTCTCTCAAAAATCGCCCAAAACCGTGTTGGAAATGTCCAAAATGACAAAAATGTCGGAACCCCTCTGTTGAGTAATCTGTCCAGTGCTTTCGCACCTGCGGACACTTAACCGCATCTGCGGTTCCGTTTTTGCGGAGACTCTACCTCATCTGTGGTTTTTGCCTAGGATGGATTTACTCTGCTTCTGCGGTCACCTTCCCGCTTCTACGATCAACAAGCCGCTTTTGCGGCTTCGCAGATGTGGCGAAGGCTCCGCACCTGCGTGCACTACCTTGCCCCTTCGCATTTCGCTTATGCGAGCCTGACCTCGCTTCTGCGGTGTCGCTTCTGCGACCAAGGCATCACAGAAGCGATCACACTAGCTGCTGCCCAGCTTCATCATTTCCTTAAGTCCAAAAATAAATCCGTTAACCATCCGGAATTCACCCGAGGCCCCGAGGACCTCAACCAAATATACCAATAAGTCCCAAAATATTATATGAACTTAGTTGAAACCTCAAATCACATCAAACAAACGTAAAACTACGAATCATACCCCAATTCAAGCTTAATGAAACTAAGAAATTCCAACTTCTACATTTGATGTCGGAACCTATCAAATCAAGTCCGATTGACCTCAAATTTTACACACAAGTCATAAATGACATAACGGACCTATTTCAATTTCCAGAATCGGATTCCGAGCCCGATATCAAAAAGTCAACCCCCCGGTCAAACTTCCAAACTCAAATTTCCTATTTTCGCCATTCAAGCCTAATTTGACTACGAACTTCCAAATAATTTTCCGAACACAATCCTAAGTTAAAAAGCACCATACAGAGCTATTGAAATCGTCAAAACTCTATTCCCGGGTCTTTTACATATAAGTCAACATCCGATCAACTATTTCCACTTAAACTTTAAATCTTGGAACTAAGTGTTCCAATTCATTCTGAAACCTCCCCAACAAGTCATATAATTATAATTTAACACATGATAAGTAGTAAATGGGGGAACGAGACTGTAATACTCAAAACGACCGACCAGGTCATTACATGTATAGAACTCCATTCTTCAACATATAAGCAGGCTTAGATGAAGGGTCTTGAGTAGATTGGTTGATTAGTTTTTGAAAATGAGAATCATTGACATAAGACTCCTTAATTTTATCTAGGAAGTCAGAATACACATATGACAATGTTTGCAGTTGTGGTTGGATTTTAGGCAGTCTAGATAGAGCATCTGCCACCAGATTTTCTTGTCCCTTTTTGTACACAATGTGTAGTCGTACCCCATCAGTTTGGCTAACCATTTCTGCTGACTAGGTGTAGAAATTCTTTGCTCTTGGAGGTATTTGAGACTCTGATGATCAATTCTCACAGTAAAGTGCTTTCCAATCAAGTAAGGCCTCCATTTCTGGATAGCTGCCACGATAGCCATCATTTCCCTCTCATATACTAATAACAATTGGTGTTTACTTCTCAAAACCTTGCTCATGTGGGCTAGGGGATGACCCTGCCATGATAGCCATCATTTCCCTTTCATATACTAATAACAATTAGTGTTTACTTCTCAAAACCTTGCTCATGTGGGCTAGGGGATGACCCTGTTGCATCAGCACTGCTCCAATACCCATTCCACAAGCATAAGTCTCAATGACAAACTCTGCACCAAAATTAGGAAGTGCTAACATAAGGGTGGTAGTCATTGCTGCCTTCAATTGTTTAAATGCAGCAGTAGCTCATTCAGTCCATGGGAATTTATCTTTCTTGAGAAATTCAGTTAGTGGTCTGGCTATTACTCCATACCCCCTAACAAACCTCATATAATTACATGTTAAGCCCAGAAAATCCTCTCAATTCTTTAGCTGATTGAGGAGTAGGCCAGTCTAACATAACCTTGACCTTGCTAGAATCAACAGTCACTACTAAAAAATGGCCAATTTCCGACTAAAATATTTCGACAGGAAAAAGTAGTCAAAAATTTCCAGCGGAATCGGTCGAAAATTGCATAAAAATATATTTTTCAATTTTTAATAATAATTACGACTAATATTCCGTCTATATCCGTCGTAAATTTTGGCGAAAAATACCGCGTAACTGTTAGCGACCAATTCGGTCGGAAACAATTAAAAAAAATTAAAAAATTACGCCCTATTCAGTCGGAATCTTTTATTAAAATGAGGTTTGACTATTTGACCTAATTTCCGACCGAATCGGTTGGAATATAATTTTAAAACCCCCGACCCCTTTCTTTTTTCTTTCCCTATTTTATTCCTTCTCTATTCTCTCTCTCACACTCAAACCTCCCCTCTCCCTCCCCCCACCCAAC